TGTATTTGTTTATATTTTTGTTCAGCGTCGCCTGTTTATTCCAATATATATTGACAAAAGATTTGCTTTTACAAGGAAGGTTTTCATTTTCTTTATTCATACGGGCAATTGTTTGCAAGAGTTTGTGTTATTATTTTTATTATGTATTTTTTGTTTTATTTTTATTGGTGGAACCTGAATAAATGTTATTTTTAATCGTGTTGTTTTTATTTCATATCGCCTATTTTAGGCGGTTGAGGCCTGTTTTAGACACTTTCGGCCTAAAACGGCCTAAAATGTAGGTTTTTATTGCCTATTTATGTGTCCTAATTTCCAATTTTTAAGGGCCTAAAATCCGGTCTTTAGTGATTAGGTACCTAGAGCGCTCGAGCTCGCAGATCTGTTCTCTTCCCCGTCTGATTTGGAACTGATAGTATATATTAAAATTAATGTATAATTACCTACCTGTATTATGTTAGATTTTATTAACCCAAATAATACAGCTACGTTAATTAAAGTCGTAAAAATCTTTTTTATTCTATTTTAATTTAACATATTCTTGCAGCGCTCTATTGGAAAAAGAAAAAAATTCTGCTTTGGCATTTTTGGGTGTTTTTGCAAGGCTATCCGTAGAAACACCTACTTTCTCGTCCCTAGGGAGATGGTAAAATTTAACTTTATCATTGTGTAGGAAGAAAACACTTTTATGAAATTAGTGCGTTAGTAATTGTCCGCAACTTTGGTGACGGGAAAATTCAACTTTATCATAGTTAGGGAGAAAAAAATAATTGTTTTATAATATAATAATTAAGAAAAAAAAATTATTTGCGATTTCATTATGGACCGTGCTTGGACCAATCATAACATTTCTACTTTGGAGACGGTATAATTAAACTTAATCATAGTGCTGATTTAGGTGTATTCTAATGATGCGTGAGCAACTTAAACACTCGCATGAAAAAATCATTTTTTAAAACATGTAAAACTATTTAAAATCTAAGACCCTACCCTGTAATCATTTGGCCTTATTTTACTGATTGACCTTTTCGGATTCATACGCATAGCTTCAAAATTCGTTACCGGTGTAGATATCATACACAGCATTTGATATTATGCTATCTTGATGTTCCACACCCAATGAGGTTATGTACCAGTCAGTTTAACGCCCATTTTGTCTTTATTTTTCTTCTGAAAATAGCGGTTTTCGCGGTGCTATATGCATTTTAGTGTATAAAGCCCCTAATTCGGGACACAAAAACATAACATAACATCGCGAACACCGCAATTTTCAGAAAAAAATACGTTTAAGTAAAAATATATATTTATTTATAATTAATCTCGTTGACTTCTTTTTATAAGGCGTTCGCAATCAAATTTCAATGTAAGCCTTTTGAGTGTATAGCATAGTACCGTAATCGTATTTTTTGAATTTTTTTCACCAATCAACAAGAGCCTTTTTGAGATGCTCTTGCTAAGCGCAAGGATGATTTAATTTGGTCATATGATGCACTTTTAAGCTACGGCCACGGGTAAATTCTCAAAACCATCAATACAGTTTCTTAGAATGGTGCTTTATCGATGTTTGGTTGCAGAGATAATTCATAGAGTCCCCCAAGGATCCATCTTGGGACCATTACTATTTTTAATATTCATCAATGACTTGCCTATCAGAGATCTAGATACTAGTTTTACTCTTTGCTGACGACACGACACTGTCTCTCAGCGCAGACACTCAGCATGATGTCAATTGCTCAAGTCAAGGCGAAAACTGGTTTAGGGCAAACAAACTCTTACTAAACAAGGAAAAGACCTGCAAAATGATCTTTTCCATGCGAAAATTTGAACAAGATGTGGAAAAAAATAAGTTTTTGGGAGTATATCTTGATCCTACCCTGCTGTGGGATCATCATATAAATTATATTGCCACAAAGCTTGGTAGGAGTTTGTTTGTCCTGAGAAATCTTATGAACTGTGTTTCTATAGATGTGCTAAAAAGTGCATATTTTTCACTCTTTCAAAGCCACCTTTTATATGCAATTTTAGCCTGGGGCCATGCACCCCAGAGAGAGAGGATATTTTGTATCCAGAGAAAGTCAGTGAGACTATTGGCAGGCTTGGGATTTCGGGATGATTGTCGGCAAGCGTTCCGGAGCCTGAATCTAACGGTCCCATCTCTGTATATTTATGAATGTCTTGTTTACATGCACAAAAACATTTCTCAATATTCAATTCATAGTGACTTTCACCAATATAACACAAGAATGAAAAACAACGTCGCACCATTACATTGTCGCCTAAAAAGGTGCCAAGATGGACCAGTAAAATTTTATAATGTCATCCCAGCACAGATTAAAGTTTTAAATGAGAAAGGATTTAAAAAGGCTGTGAAATTAATTTAAACTAGGAATATTATTTACACCAAAAATGAGTACCTGAATCTATTTAAAAATAGCTCTGTCCCATAAATGTATCTATGTTTTATTTTAACTTTTAATCTTTAATATTATATTTAAGTGTATATTTTAATATTTTAACTGCTACTACTATGTATTTTTTGACTTATGTACACGCTTCTGTGTTATAACATCAATAAATTATTATTATTATAGTGTGTAGTGTAGTTAAATAGGTAATTACGTGATAAAGAACCCCCCAGATTGAGAAACAATGGTCCAAGTACTGTTTTCAATATATTGTTTCCTGAATATTTAACTGGAAATATCGTTTTCTTAAATAAATAGTTTTTCTTCTTGAAAATGTAGAATGTAGATTGTACATACATACAAGTGTTTTTAAGCAAAATATCGTTGATTTAATAGCCCTTAATCAAAAATAGCTGTTGGCATTTCTGAAACAACGATTTTTAAGAATACCTAAGCAAAATCACATCCGGATAGCAACACATGTATTTGCTTTCAATGGTGAAGAGTAATGCGACGTATTTTATTCCAATTATCAGCCCCATCTTCAGATTTTTGTTTGAGGTGTACAGTTTTTTGTGTAGTAATAATATTCTTTTTTTTCAAGCGTGAGTAGTCTTTCTACAAGACATGGCGCTCGGATCAAATAGTCAAGTAGTCTTGAATTTCTTTAATTTTTACATTAAAAAAACTCAAACTAATTTATTGATTGAGTGTGTAGGAAAGATTGTATCAGAAACTGCGTTTTGCGGATGAGCTCCTCATATAATATATTATGTTAAGAGCAATATATTATGTTTAGAGCAATGAAACAAAACAAATAAAACATATATGTTTAGAGCAATTAAATAAAATAAAAAATAATCTTAAATACCCTAAAATTTTACAGTTTTAGATCCCTAAGAGGAACTCCTCATAGAGTATAGCTCCTCTTCCTCCTCATTTTAATGTTCATTAACGTCTGCAGAAGGGACCTCTTTAACTTTTTCTATGATTTGGTTGAAGAACTTTTTTTCAAACTTTAGCTGACTAAAAAATTACACTTGCATAGTTAATAATTAATTATTAATTACCTTAATGTCTCATTATAATCACAGTCGTAGCTAGGGGCTGGCCCGGGGGCGGCTGCCGGGGGCGCAAACCTCAAGGGGACGCAGTCACAGACTCGAGCGCCCTGCTTTAAATACCCCATAGAGACCCTGTTCAAACCGATAGATATTTGTATCGGAATGTATGGTGTTTCTATAGGGTGTATCGGTATGTATAGGACCCATAGTTGGGATTTATGGTTGTTCTATATATCCCTATATATAGGGATATCCACCCTTGATTTATTTGCTATTGGTTTCAATGGGGAAAATACACGTAAATGTAGAAATAAGTTTTTCCCCCATAGGACCCTAGTGATATCAGTATAATAACTCAATGAAGGATATATTATATTTTTCTATGAGTTATTTGCTATTTTGTCTCAATAGGAAAAATGTAAAAGTTATGGTGTGCCTATAGGAAATTTCTTATAAATTTTCTATCGGGCCGTATCCGGAAAAAACCATGGACAAATGCACATATTGAATCCGGTAGCGCCCGATAGATTATTTTGTATATGTATCTGGAGTATTTTAAGCAGGGCGCCTAGAAGAATCTTTAAACGAAAGTATTTAACATATTTTTGGACAACTGCAAACTGACAATGAACGTAAATATTGCAAATTTTATATTTCAAGCTCAAATATATATCACAAATTAAACTTTAAAGTCATTGTATTGTTTCTCTTTCTACAAAATAAGTTTTTGGGGGTACAAAATTCAAATCTTGCCCAGGGATATACCTCTAACACTAACTGTAAGCGGCGGTAAGGGGCCCTCACGCGTTTAATAATATTGTCAATATTTAATGAATCAATATCAATATGGATTGTGTGAAGCAAAATATTGGAAGTAGTGGCCGTAGGAAGGTATGTATTGTCAATATATTGACAATATTATTGATTGTGTGGGGGGGGCCTTTAAGCAAATATCTCTGTTTGGCTCATTTTGTGTTGTGTTGTTAAAAAATCGTCAAACTTAAATGTCATTCATGTATGTCAGCCAAATCCTTGTATCAAGATTGCCGGGGTGTAGCCAAATGTTACGCTAAATTGGCATTTATTGTCAGTGTTATCGCATAATTTAATTTAGTTTAATTTAATTAATAGTTACATTTGTCGCTGTTTATTTCTTTTACTTTTATTTAAGCCGCTGCTAATAAAATATAATCGTGCATTTAAAACTTTTTGTTTGACAAGCTAGTGTCAAACATAAATGTCATTGGGAAAACCCAATTGTCATTCATGAATGACACTTATGTATGGCTGCCTTAATACATACTCAATTACAGAACATACTCAATTGGACAAACTTTTTTACAATGGATACAATGGATTACCAATAAACTACCCACATTAAATTCTATAAAATGCTAACTTTCTGAAAATGTTAAGCTCGTATAAGAAAGAAAGTAAAATGTTATAGGATTTTGCTGTTGCCTAAATAATAATCTCAAATAATATTTATTTTATTATGAATTTCATAATTATAAGAAAAATTATATTTTTTTAGGAAATGCAGCTCAAATGAAAATATGCGAACCAAATGCAGACAAGACACAGTTCCTTCACTTGCCAGAAGAATGTATACGCGAAATTATATTAAGATTATCCGATCACAGAGATCTAACGTCCAGTTCTCAGTCATGCAAGTTAATGGCTTCCATTGTTGATGAACAACGTATATGGCGAGAATTGACTCAGTTTCATTTTAGTCCCAGACAAATTGAACTTGTCTTGCCAAAGGATGACGAAAAAATCGAATGGAAAACGGTTTACCATGCTTTAAAAAGGTATTCATCCCAAGCATTGATCTTCAAAGTTAAAACCCTAAAACTTTTAGTAAAATCTGAGATGTCGAGCTTTTGTCATTAGGTGAAATTTCAGTCTTATAATATGAAAATTATTGTACACTTGAAAAAAATACATCTGTTTGCAAAACTTAAAAGCCACATACTTTTTCCCAACCAACCCAAGAAACAAAGAGGGCATGATTTTTGGTTTATTTGACCAAAGAGTTGCAAAGAGTTATAGCTCTAGAGATTACCATTTGAATTATGCTTTTATTAAATATTCAAATCGGTGTTTTATTATAATACAGCCTGTATATCTGTAACAATCAAACTTAAATGATGTATTCACAAAATATACAATGTTTTACTCAATGTAGCTAATTATAATTTTTGCCAACTAAACCCCCAAATTTTTGACTTTTTCAAAATTCGAACAAAACAGACTGTAGAATTTGCTGACTACATTTGACATGTTTGTTTCAGAACACCTTTTATATAATACTCATATTGCAATTTTTCCAGAACTATCGGAATAAATGAAGAAAGACAATACGCCGAAATGTTGTCATTATGTAGATACTGCCGCTGTTTGTTCTGGAGATCTTTGGGTCATCCGTGTATTGCAGACCAATGTCCTGAGTTTCGGGCTCGATTGCAAGAAGCGGGGGGAATCATCCCTCCTAGTCCAGTCCCTCCTTCTGCATTCCTCAAGTTCTTCTCTCTGTAGTTGCCTTTCACCAATTGATTTGTTGTGCTTGTTGTGCATTGTGATATAACTACAATTATTTAATATTCGGAATGCGAAAATTATTTATGAATTTATACATATATATATATATATTAGGGTGTTTCAAAATAAGGCAATATTTTTCTTTTTTCAAATTGATGTGAAATTCTCGTTACTTATGGGCCATTCCACGCTTAACGGATAGGACAGTTGCCGTGTTTTTATTTACAAAATAATATTGTTCTATTATATTACCAATGTCAAATTTTTATAAATAGTTCTAAAAAAAACCACTATTACAAAGTCCCGTCCGTTACGCTTTAAATTATTAGTTTTTAAGGAATTAAACAGTCAACCACGATACCTAATTTTGCCAAATAAAAACCTTGTTAAACAGCTTTAGTTTAGAACTATTTATAAATATTTGACATTGGTAATATAATAGAACAATATTATTTTGTAAATAAAAACACGGCAACTGTCCTATCCGTTACGCGTGGAATAGCTCTTATGCTAAAAAAAAATTCTGTCAAAATTTGAGCTCTTAATATTAATTTTAAAAGGTCCATCATTGAATTTATAGTTTTCCTATTGATTTAACATGGAAAAATAGTTTTTTAAGATTTATTTCGCCTGCATGCTACCTATGTAGAACTTTTTTTATAAGTCTGTAGATTCAACTTTTTCTTTTTTATTAACGTTGAAACGTATAAATTCTAAAAAAAATTGATATTTTTACATTTAGCGGCTAAACTACTAATCGTAGAAAAAAAAGTCAATTAGCAATGATGGACCTTTTAAAATTAATATTAAGAGCTCAAATTTTGACAGCATTTTTTTTGCATAAGTGACGAGAATTTCACATGAATTTGAAAAAAGAAAAATATTGCCTTATTTTGAAACACCATAATTTTGTTTTTAATTAAAATTTGCACTTTTTATTTATTGAAAATTTAATTGCAAAGGGGGTTTGTTTTGTTATTAAATATATTTAACAAATTAAAAATACAAAAAAATATATAAATAGTATTTATTTATTAAATACAAATTGAATAATACATGGATATTTCTATTAAAAACTATATTTTATTGTATCTAAATTTTATGAAGCTTTAAACATAATAATTAGGAATATCATGTTATAAAAACTAGGTCTAAGTAAGACCATCTTACCAAATATTATTTGTTAGGTAGTTGTGACTTATTTTATACTCAGATTCATAATTTGTTTTCAGCATTCTGGTAATGTAATAGGCTGCTATATACATATATCTCTCATAGATACTTTAAAAATTTAAATTATAACAAATTAAATATTTTTACTTACACTATTAGATATAAGTCGTTTTATTAACCTACTAAATTCCATAATCCTAACAAAAATAATTATAATTATCATTAAAGTATACTTGTTAAATGAGTTTTAATACAACTAATGTTTAAATTGCTTTAATTTTATGCTTTATATAAAACATGATATTTTTAGAAGACTGTGTATTAATTAGTCCTATTTGGTAAAAAATAAATATTGTAAATTAATGTCAATTTCATATTTCTTTAATTAATGGATTTTAAAGAGTAAACATTTGTATAAATAATAATTGTGGTATTCAAATGAATTGATTTATAAAATAATGTAAGCAACAAAAATAAAGTACTTCATTAAAATTGTACCTACCTATTTTAATTGTTAAATTCATTATAAAATAATTTTTAAAAATTTGTTAATTATATTAAAAGAAAAGAAAAAATTGTAATTTAGAAAATAGTAGGTAGGTATCCTACTTTTGTATATTTTTGAGCATCACCTAAGTAAATTGTTTAATTCCTACAACATTCAAGATGTAATCATATCATATTTGGAGTGTTTCGAGGGGTAAACGACGCTTACGAATTAACGGCTAAGGATAACAATAACAAGGATAGTCATGCGCAACGCGTCGCTAAGCACAGATTAAGCAAGTTTTCCTTATTGACTAATAAGGAAAAAAATCACAACACAATGCCCACTAACATTGAATGATGGTCTCTAAGATTTTAAAGTGGTTTTCCCCTTTAGTAATGAACTTTAGTATCAGACTGACTACTACCAAGCAAAAATATGTCTCAAAATATTACAGCTCATTTCTTGCTGAGATTTAAACCAAAAATGGGTTAAAAGTCATTGTCCATCATGAGTTAAATTATTAGCCATTTTTTGTTAACATCATGTAATATTCTTAAGATGCTGTCTCAATAATTATAAACAAAAATTAATAAAAGAATTATTTATTTTACCTTATCATACCTACAGCTTAAAATTAATTTCTATACATTTTATTTCTCTAATGGAGCATAATTAAGAAGTTTTTCAATCAAGTCCACGTGTCCCAGTAACATTCTTCGGCAGCAGTATCTCTTAAGTCCTAGCGCATCCAAAGCATCACCCTCGGTATATTCTGCTTGCAAAAGTCCCAAATAGGCTTCCCATTTATTGCCAATAACTTTTCCACAAGTAAAACAACGCACGGGTATAATCATGTTTGTTAAAATCAAGAACTAAAAAAAAAGACATTATGTACGTTATATGTTACTAAAATTAAACCAATGGTCGCAATAAAGCTTACCTATTTATATGATTAGAGGGTTTTTTACTATAAAATTCTGGAAATTTTAAGCAAAAACGAAATACAAACACCACTTTCTTAAAAATTTGAGGTTATTAATCAACGTTGCCAGATGTATTCACAATCCACACCAGTTCAGTCAGGGGGGTATAAGGGGCATTTGACAACAGGCAACAGTAAAATAAATCTAGCATGCGTTGAAACCCAAGTTGTTTTTGACAGACCCCAGTTATTAACCACGTGATTCTTACTTTGTTGTGATTGGTCTTTTCCAACTTGTTCGTTGATGTTCGCGGTTTGAGAAATTACAAATGGCCGACAGTGTTGTTGAAGTGTTGTGTACGAAGTTTTATAATCCAAATTTTCTTTGTTTTAGGTAAGTAAACTTGTTAATTTCGGCTTTAACATTTTATTAGGTGTTTTTAGTCATGTTTGAGTTATTTGTAGCATCATTACCGCGTTTAAAATAAGAAAATACGTGTGATAAACAGTATCGGTTTTTTTTCTCTATGTTTACCGAAAACATATGTAAAAGTTACGATAAAACAAATAAAATTCTTTTTATGTAATGAAACCTATGGCAAAGAGTAAAGACTCTTTGCTTATGGGTTGTTTAACTAATGCAAGTTTTGATAGAATTTAAATAGTTTTAAAGCGTTTTGATTCAAAACTTTCAATCAAAACAGTTTTTAACGTTTTTTTTTCTCGACACTATAGTGCAACTATAGTTGCTGTTATACAAAATGTTAAATATACCTATAATCTTTGTCAAAATGTATGTTTTTGTTAAAATTATTTGATGTAGCTACGCGAAAACTGGACCTGGGTCCAGGGCCCCACTACATTGGCATTTGGTGGAGCGGAGGTTATTGAACGAACAGCCCCCTCATCGGTGGATCGGACGTAAAGGGCCCAACAATTTGGCACTTCATGTATGGTCAACACATTCAACCGATCTCACAGTGTGCGACTTCTTTCTCTGGGGCTTTATAAAAGATAACGTTTATGAGCCCCAAGATTTGTAAAAGCTGAATACACAAATTGGAACTGCTGAGTATCTACAAGATGTTTGCAGCTGGAAGAGGTAATATTAAACACTTGTAAGCATACAGTTCAAAACTTGATTATATTACAAATGTTTTGTGCTTTCCATGTTTTTTTTACATAAATATAGCATTTTAAACTACAGGGTGATATTTTTTTACAGTATTTTTATAGTTATTTTATTTGAAGGGGTCAATGCAAGAAGTGTCGTAAGTCACATTTTCAATTAAATTGTTATTCTGGCTTCATCGAAGAGTTTTCACATAAGTTGAAAACCAGGCAAACTCCCATTGAAGTAAATGCAAACTAAAGCACTTGGGCACATATTTCTGCCACTTTGAAAATACCACCTGAAACCTTATGTGAAACACCCTTAGATGAAGCCACATTGTAAATTTAATTGAAAATGTGACTTAGGCACTTAAGTGCAAGAATTCTTGCATTGACCCCTTCATTTGTTCTATCTGAAAGTCTGACATTTTTAATGTACATAAATAACTAGACAATTCATAAGCAAACCTTTTAAAGAATTATTTTTAAAGTTTTTAATTTAATTATTATTTGCTATACAATATAAATTGATTTTAATTTAATTTAATTAATTTTAGCTTCTGCGATAATGGAACAATTAGACAAGATTTATCCTGCATGAAGAAAAAGAATGAAAGCTTTACTCGTCAATCCCAAACAGAAATATTTGACCAAATTTTTTTAATAATAGGTAGATATATTTTTTTTTATTTAGAATACATTTTAAGTTACAATTGGTGGTGTGTGAATATTTTTACCAAATAAATTATGTAGTAATATTTAATTCAAACTTAAAATTAAATATTTAAACTACATAAATAGTTTGAATTATTTGAATAGTATTGATAATAATAAATTTTAAATTACAATTCTGATGTTCCATTTTTTCAATTACTATTGGAAAATTTTAATTTTCTAATTGAACCATTCAAACTATTCAAATAATTCTTGAATTCAATATTCACACATCCATAGTTACAACCCAAATATAAAAAAGTAAAAGCCTGACCATTAAAGAAAGTACACTTTTAGTATTTACTCCAAATATAATTAAATTGTTTATTGTTAAAACAAGCAATCTGACATTTTTATATTACATACACTTCTGCTTTAAATTATTATTTTGAGACAGAAATATTTTATTTAGCAAGATACACATTATGATATTAAAAAAGGATATTTTCATGTTAAAACAGCACAAGTTCAACATTATTAGTTTTTATAAGATTTTTAAAATAAAAAATAAACAAAATCATATTTAGTTAGTTACTTGGCTTGTTTTTACAATAAACCATTCAATTATTTTTATGCTGGTAAAAC